TTGGCTAAATAGTAACATGTTGTCCCTAAACGTTAAAAAAACAAAGTTCATAACATTTTCTCCTACGATTCGAGACCAACCAGAAGACCTCAAACTCAAACTGCATACTAATTCTTGTGATATCACAGATAATTGTAAATGCCATTCTATAGAAAAATCTAGTTGTATAAAATACCTCGGAGTCTTCCTAGATCAGCATTTGAAATGGACCGATCATATCTATTACGTCACAAAACGACTACGAGTTCTCATGCACAAATTTTTTGAATTACGTGACATATTATCGAAAAAAAATCTAGCCATTCTATATACCTCACTTGCAGAATCACTAATACAATATTGCATTCCGGCTTGGGGACCAACATTCAAAACCCATCTCAATCCATTGCAGACTGCACAAAATTTATTATTAAAAATTATTTTTAGAAAACCTAGACTTTTCTCTACAAATCAATTATACCAGGAATTCAAGATATTAAATATCCAATCAATCTGTGCTTATCAATGCCTAAAAAGAATTAATCGAGATCAACACAAATTCACACAACAACACTCACGAGAAACTCGATCAGTAACAAACTCGAATATTAAAGTCGAATTTTTTAAAAAAACTGTTACACAAAATTCATTTTTTCACTACGGGCCAAAAATCTACAATACCCTCCCAAAAAATCTTAAAGAAATGAAAAACTTTAATATTTTCAAAAAGGAAACAAAGAAATATATATTGAGCCATCCCGACAAATTTTTCTAATAATCACAATTATATAATTAATTAAGAATTTATGATCAACCAGTTCTGGGACTTTCATCCAATCTTCCTTCCTTCCTTCCTTAATATGAATACCATGAAGTATTAGTAAACATTTATTACTTGCCACATCAAAATAATCCACTGTAAGCTTTGGGTGTCATACATAACAGAGATCACAAGACAGACTTCAAGTCTAGCGTGACGATGTTTTGTAGGGCACTCAGTAACCGAAAATTGTCAAATAACAAATAGTACATAAAATGAATATAATTTATTATTATTAATTCAAAGATGCATATATTTGTACATGGAATACTGAGAGAAATTGAATAAATTGAATTGAATTGAATTACATCCCGCCGCAGGTAGCTGGGATTGATCGCCAGGGTCGTAACAATAATATGTACAGGACCACAAACGCGTTTGAATCATTTCATTCTCATTTTAATTCTAATTTTCATAGTTCTCACCCAAGTTTGTTTAATTTTGTAAATATTTTAATAAACTTTCAAGCAGAAACAAATATTAAAATAAATTCCGTAAAATGTTCCACCAAAAAACTAAAAGTGCAACACAGAAAAAAAAGGATTTTGTAAAAATTATGTCTTATTATAATTCACCTCAATAATAAATAATATATTTTAAGAAAATAGTGATTGTTTTAATTCTTAGAATACAACCTTAATCCGCTCGAAGACCGGTTGTGGTCCAACTGATCGGTGTACTTAAAACAGGTACCTGGCCCGTGGTCGACCTGTCCGACTCCCGACCCATTTGTGTATGGACCAGATGCCAGCCCTAATAGCAAATACCGCGCCAGTGCCAGGTATAGGAAAACTACGTGGAAAATGTTAGGTTAGTGAGCATATGAACATTAATAATAGTGATCATTTATTTCTCTTCATACTCCACTGTGGTGGGCTCGATAATTAAATGAAGGTAAACAATATCGTTGTGAGACAAAAAAGTATCGCTGGCCGTGATTATTCAAAAACAAGCTATCGATCAATACATATCAAGCAAGTATTTGTAACTTGAAGGCTTTCCTGATCAAAACAAAAATACTCAGTAATAATATTGTGTATTTATATCTCCGGCATGGGTATGAAATGCCGAATCTGCCGGAATCGGAAACAAATGAGTTATGCGTCCCAACCCAAATAACCAACCGTAACCATATTGTTTTTCTGCAACCGACACAAAAGTCGTCCATTTTGATACCAAAATTAGCTTTTAAATTGACGTTTCTATTACTGACACAAAAATAGGTATGTTGCTAGGCAACATATTTAGTTCCTAGGAGCTAAAGTTGAATTTTAGTTCCTAGGAGCTTAAGTTGAACTTGAGCTCCTAGGAACTTAAAAGGATCTACTGGACGTCATCAAGAATAAACAACATTGTGACGGTTGGTTATTTGGGTTGAGACGCATACCTGATTTGTTTCCGATTTCAGCAGATTTGGCATTTCATATACCCATGCTGGAGATATAAATACACCTTATTATAGTTTAGTATTGGAATGATAAACATCCCAGTTAAGTATTTTTGTTTTGATTAGGGAAGCTTTCAAGATTCAAATACTTGCTTGATCTGTATATTTCATTCGTTATTCTCGGGATGGATAACTTGTTTTTGAATAATCACGGTAAGCAATAGTTTTTTTTGTCTCAAACAACGATAATGTTTAGCTTCATTTGATTATTAAGTCAAACACAGTGTAGTATGGAGAGGAATAAATAATCACTATTATCAAATTATCATTGTTGATATGCTCACTAACCTAACATTTTCCACGTCTTGTTCCTATGGTCGGCACTGGCGCGGTATTTGCCATTAGTGTCACTCTGTGGTTGTATTTATATTGAAACTACAATTCGAACATCCTTGAAAACCTAACAATGCAGGTAGAATATTCTCACCACATGGATTATTTGTCAATATTTGTTGCATTGCATACATATGGCACGGCATTGGTGGTTACTTCACATTTTTATTTGAGTTAATTGTTTCGGTTGCAGAAAAAATAGCATGTTTCATTCGGATCAAAAGTGACACTTTGTTTGACAAGCGAATTTTGCATATATATTTATATCGTGTGTGTTCAATAGATATAATTCAATGTTCGTCGTGGCATATAGCCAGGAAAGTAGTTGTTTTCTATTGAATTAACTGAAAAAGAGTAAATATTCTCATCACATAGAGAATGCGAATTCTCAATATATTGCTTTATATAAATATATATCCATTTTTGTATGTTCATAATTTATCTGAGAATATTCCTTTTGAATGAATTTATCAACAATGGTTGACAAGGTACAAGAACCAACTTCTATCCTGGCTAATGCAACGATTGACTGATTACAAGTGTTTTATTAGTTAGAGCACAAGTGTGTTTGAATTGAGCCAGGTACGCCTACAGATCATTTTCTAGATATTAGTCCTTCTCAGTGCAGGGCACCAGCTAGAGATCAGACTTTTTTATTTTCAAGAAGAATGCTCAGAGTGAAATGATAATTCAACTATATTCGTCTCTTGATGAGTAATTAATCTGCTAGACAAAATGTTTTATTCTTCAATCATCAATAATCAAAATACCCAGATCTATGTAAGTCAAGATCATTTAATGAATAGAGTCTTACTTAGGTTAGAGGCCAAAAATGATGATTGTAGTGAAGTTAAATCTATGACTTACAAGTAAAGAAGTCATGAGGTGACTGAGAATAATAAATGTAAATAGCACAATTGGGGTAATACTATCATAAGACAAACAGTGAAAAATAATAGAGATCCATATCATGGAGATGAGTGATCCATCATTATACTCTCACTCACAATCAACCATCAATGAGGAAGTTTCCAATAATGAAGTTTTTATCTCACTGTCAAGTTTGTAAAATTTTAATACACAGTGGCCCGCATTTCGTCCCACTATTACTATCTCTGACAAGGGTGGCCCTAGATAAACGAAACATTGTTTCAAAAATCTGATATAACCATATTGTATAACATATGAAATGGGAGAAGAAATATCTGTTTAGTTTGTATCTGGTGGTTTTCGGGGTAAAAGATTATGATTCTTTCGTTAAAATTTGAAAATTCAAGATGGCAAATCCAATATGGCGGAAGTGATTTGTAATTATGATCCGATTGTAGATAAAACCGGCGTCTGAGGTTTTAGGGGTTGAAGATTATGATTTTTTCTTCAAAATTGGAAAATTTATGATGGCGTATCCAATATGGTATACGAGTTTTGTAATTATATGATCCGATTCTATTGAAAATTGATATCTTCTGTCAAAATTAGAGAAATTCAATATGGCGGATACAATATAGCGGATGGGTTTTGTAATCATGATCCGATTCTATTAAAAATTGGGGTTTTTGGGGTCGGAGATTATGATGCTTTCGTCAAGATTGGGTACTTACAAAAAATATAAAGACAACTAGAAAGTAGAAAGTGATATAATAAAAGTGTACTGATAAGTACACAACACAATGTATTGATCACGGAGGTGCAAATATTTTTAATGTTGTGTATTTATCAACACACTTTCATTATTTTATGTTCTACTTTTTAGTTTGACTATCCATCAAAGGGTGTTTATCAAGTTTTTCAAACTACTATTTATTTCAAAAATAATAATAATAATAACTTATTTCGTGTTATGAGTAATAGTTATTGATCCGGACACGATGAAAAAATTTCAAGTGAGTCAGGGAATCTCTGAATTATTTTGCTAAATTGAAAAAAAATGAGTCAGTATATCCCTTGCTCCCAAAACATTTCAGGAACATCCAGCTACTGGAGAAACATACAGGCAGTATCCAAAGTACTTTTTTCTTGCTTTTCTCATTGTTCCTATTCCCAGATAATTTTATATCAATAATTGTAACAAACTGAAAACCTGTAACTGAATAATTTATAATATAATAATGTGATTGAGTTGTTGTCAGTCTGGAAGAAATTTAATTTTCAATTTCAAGGCATCTGACCTTGAATGCCAACGAAATTTTCGCCTGCGGCGCTTTGCTCAACCCTCTTTCTGGTTCATACTAAATATGATTTGTTGTCACTCTGAAAGAAATTTTATTTTCATTTTCAAGCCATGTGATCTCGAACCCCAAAAAAATTTCCCCTGCGGCGCATTTTTCCCGTTGCAGAAATTTTGCCCAAGTTCCTTGACCCCCTTGGTATTCACTAAAATAACGCCTCTGAATAAAATACAGAAATATGGTCAATACTTACATCTTTCTCTACAGTATCTCGACAAGTATTATCTAAACTTTCGACTCCACCCTCGCACTGTTTCCATGTAAGTGGATCGACGAAGTAAAGAGCCAACATGGTGGGCCAGTTACCGCCCAGATTGCTGATGGTGTTCAGCAATGTCATGTAAGTGCCGCCGACCGAGGAGTCGCTTATTTTCGCGAAGAAAGCCATTATGGAGACGAACATACAGTAAACACACACCTTAAATAAATAAAAAACAATAAATTCTCACCTGAAAAAATACGACCACACTGTCAAGATGTCCACGTAATTCGAATGTTGTTTTCTCTAAACTTTCTTAGAAAAGTGAGTATTGTGTTTGTATTTTTCAAATTTGAGTATTGATTTGAGTTTTTTTTTATGTTCTTTTCCATGAAAAGGGGTATCCTGTAATGTTCAGAGAACATCGTGAGAACAGTCATATGGTTTAGATGAATTTTTATTCACAAAATGAGCTTTGAAAGCTTGTGTGTGCACCAGTCATTATCAAATCACATTTACAACAGAAAATTCACTAATGAGTGAATTTGCTAATGAACCGTCTTATATACCGATATACAGGCTGATTTTAAAATGAGTGCATAATATATATTCAAGACATATATATGAGAGAGTCTAACAAAAATTGCTAAAATATTTGATTTTTCCTAAGTCTTCACATTAACGAGAAATTTCATTTTGAAAATTGAACATAAAATGCTTCGAAATTCGAGTACGCCACTGGGAAGCAAGTCAAATCTGCGGAATCCCAGGGAATCCCCAATTCGTCATTCACTAACGTCAAAACAAGACAGTGATGCTAGATTGTTTCAGAGACGAATATCCTGATAAAAATTTGTCACAGAATGAATATGAATTGGAATAGGTTATGGAAACTAATAGAGGTGAATGTAATATGTACAGGAGCCTTATTTTTTAAAGTTTACTGAGAGAACTGTGGGTTGATTATCTCCATGGATCACGAGAGACGGAGAGAAACATGAGGGGAATGATAGAACGTCCCCCTTACTTCAATTCGAAAATAAGGCCCCAGCGGGTAGATACAAAATAAGCAGACAATAAATAGGTACACAACATACACAAAGTTGAAAATCGACTCACCTAGTAGATTTTCTCATACCTGCTCGAACAGGAAAACTCCCGAGAGCAAACAAATACTAATATCGAGTCCATTCCAGACTAATATCGTCCTGTGTTCTTGTTGGTTCATATTCGCACTTAAACCATCGAAAACGACTCGACGACGACATATCCTTCCTGGCAATCTCACATTGAAATTCACGATCACGACCATATCACGATTATCACGACACAAGACACAACATTCAATTATTTTATTTTTCATTTTACGTTTACAATTATTTTACAAACCAGCAACCACACAAACAAAACTATTATCATATGATCTGTCAACATCATTTCTCAGAACAGTAGTATCTGTGACCATAGATTTCGTCTTTGCTGTGACCTTTGATAGTACTAACTAGGATTGTTCGCGTTCAGAAAATAAACAATCCGAAACCGTCAGAAGCATGCACAAGTCCACAGAACCCAAAAAAAGTAGCGCCTGCGTGGTTGCGATTCATCCTGATTGGACACAGCTGATTGGATTTGTGAGATTAGTGTATAGTGAGGAAGTATCATTTCATTGAATTAAACTAATAGATGTTTTTTCCAAATTAGTTTTTTATGAAAATGGTAGTTTCATTTAAAGATATGATCCTTCCTCACTAATACATTAATCTCAATCACCTGTGCCCAATCAGGATGAATCGCAACCACACAGGCACTACTTTGCTGTTTCTGATTGGTCCGTAAAAGTCGCCTATTAGTAATGCATGGTCATCTGAATTCTTGCTGGTAGCACACCATAAGAACAATCAAAACAAAGATCCTTTCTTGACAGTTTGTTGTTCTGAGAATGTATGTTATTTTGGAAAACGTCAAAACGTGATACTAGTAAATGTAAAGTTTTGTTTCTGACAATTTGCTTGGAATGTGACAATGCATTTCTCAAACATTGAGCTGAATGATATGGTTCTTATGTCGGGTCGTTATTGGGCGGGGCCCATGAGACTCCTCGAAGGACACGAAATTGTAGCAATGCAAGGAGGTGGAAGGAAGGGACTAAAGGATTTTTCAGTAAAAGAACTTCCAACCGTGAGGTGTTAAGATATACGCTATTCGAGGTCATGTGTAGAAATCTTGGGTGAGTCCATTCTAAAGTTTTTGTATTATCTTTCTAAAATTCAAGACTAGGGTTAACTTCTTCCCCATGTACATTTTCTCGATTATACATTTTATTTAATATCTCCTAATTTTCATGTAGAGTGGCAACGTCGCTTCGTTCATCACGGTCGACTGCGAATCGCAAACGATAGTTGTAACAGAAGTAGAAATCTGGGCGGAAAAAGGGTATTTTGCCCCAAATCTATTTTGATCCTAATAATATTTTTAATAGTGCTATTCGGTAGTATACCTCAAGCTTTCTTAGTGTTTAAAATATATGCACTTATTTTAAAATCAGCCTGTATACAATCTGAATATATACAATATATGCAATATATGTCAAACTAATAGCTAGATCTAGTTATAGGGTTTGCTTTTCAAAATCCACGATGATATTTAATTTTTGATTTTTTTGTATGGTTTGCCTTTGAGTTCGTTTGGCAGTATGTTATAAATTTTCGGCCCTATATAAAATATACTTCGCTGGATAGTTACATAAAATGTAGTAGGAACAACTACATTTTCATTTGTTACTAATCTAGTTGTTATAACATGATTAACTTTCGATGCATTCATTTTTTTTTGTGATATATATCTTACAACAGATTTTAGGTATAATGGGCGTGTACACCTTGGTAGAACTTTTAACTCAAACCATGTTTATAATGATCCTTTCATACATAAATAATGATTGACGACATAATTCGATTGAAAAATTTACTGGAATGTTCAATTTTTGGACATAAATAATAGTACCATCTGAAAACGGACCCTCTTATGACGTAGAAACCTCATCTCGCCATAGTTAAAAGAAAATACCAAACGCCGGACGGAGACTGAGGCAACTGATATATTAATTCTTTCAACTGTGATCTCGCGCTAATTCACTCTGCCAGAAATCATGTATCATTCATCTCTGTCTGGAATAGTCCTGTTTCAGTATTAGGGTTTTGACGTCACATCATCGCCTCGTTTTCAAAGGTCCGAAAAATCGGGGATTTCAATAATTTTTTATAAAACGTAGGGAGCTCACAGCGATAAACGGTTTGCTGTCGTGAGCTAGTTTGGGTGAGTTCTATCGAATTATGGAATAAAATTTTTTTGTGATATAAGCCCATTGAGAAATTCTGAAACTGGTTCAAAGTTCAAACTTTCCATTCCATCTTCTCATACGGAATGACAGGAAGACGATTGTGGAGGGAGTGTATGAAATGGAAAAAGTGGTATTTCAAATACTCTAACCACAAAATCTGGCCAGAAAATTGCCTAAAAGTGAACTCAACTCAGGGGATATTTTGGAATTGTTCTCAATTCTACCCAGAAAACTTCTGGATTCCTGAAATTACTTTTGAAAGTATAAAGGGGTCAATTTCATCGATAAATATCAATGTATTTTGCCTTCTAACCAATGCAACTACTAAGGAGGATAACAAGAAAGCGAGAACAACATCCATTATAAATTATAATTATGATTATGTACGGATGAACAGCAAGATTCTAGAATTATGCTATTACTATATAACCTAAAAAAATCAGCTGAATGTCACAACTCTCAAAATGAATCACATCGTTTTATTGGTCGTCAATTCTACTGCCACCAGTGGGAAACCAATACAAAAAAAACGCACCTAATGGTTTGAGTGAATAAAAGAATGAGACATATATTCTGCTCTTTGTCTTTTCCATTTCCCTAGTACCATCTGATTGTCAGATACGATTTTAGAGGTTAGATTTCCTGTCAAATCAATCATAGCCGTAGATGGAAAATGGAAATAGGGTATAAACACCTACTTCAATTTATAGCGATACGGCACTTTTTGCAGAACAGCAGTTATGAAAATAAGAAAAATGCATATAACAACATTTTAATGACAAAATAGACACGTATGGATACACTTATCGCCTCACTTATAGCTTGTTCGTTCGGTATTAAAAACTCCATTCAATGATATATCACGGTGCAATTTACTTGATTTCTCCAGTTTCGTTCTCTAATTTTCAATTCCGATCATTAGGTACTTCTGCAATCAATTCCTCTTTCTCCATGATAGTTTTGTTTTGTATTTCGTGTGATGATAATGATAGATTCATTTGTCAAATAGTCTCTTTTGTAAATAAATAGAACAGCAGATTCTCTCAAACGGATCTTGAAATCTTCTGTTCGAAAATATGAGCTGAAAATATAGTTTCATTCTAATCGGCTGTTATAAAAAGTGAATTTTATTGTATGAACCTCACAAATTTTGCTTGTGTGCAAATCAATTTTCCATCCAGGCCGTCATACATTCCTTCCATATGAGAATGGTTGATATTTCCTATGGAAAATTAAATAAATGAAATCCATTCTCTTCAGAATTCCCACAATTCATTATACATGGGAGGTGTTCCCCGAGGCATATAACCTCCAGAAAATCAAGAATAACACCAATTCCTACCTTATTTCCCTTGGTTCTCACGATGTTCTCTGAACATTACAGGATATTCCTTTTTTGGGAACCAGTTTATAAAAAAAGGACATTTTCATTTATGCTTTCTTCTCAATAGTTCATGAAATTATATTTCAATTCTGACGTTCATAGTATTTATTCAAACAATTTTGAAAGAAATGGCGCGGAACGACTATGGTGCTCTTGTCACAATACAATGTGTGAAACTTAACTAACAAATACCATTTAGTGGCTCTACTTACGATAACACAGACTCTACCAAAGTCCTATAAATATTGACAATGCAGTTTCTTTCCAAAATTTGTCGAAGTTGATAACATTTATGATATAAGTTTCTAATTTTTACCTTTACTGAACCTTGAAACGAAAAACTACGAAATGTATGCAGTATCAATGTTTTCCTCACCTGATGCAGAGCATAACAAATGAGCAGGAATGTCACGTAAAGGAATGGTAAGCCTTCCGAGGCATCAGGTACTAGTATCGGCGTAATCCACACCAAGAATGCTGCTACAAAACCAAACGCTAACCTATACGGCATGGCCTTGAGGTATATGTCTAGAGGTCGAGGACCTGAAAATATTTTATATATATTACCTCAAAACTGATCACTTCGTCAATCGTTCACATTATTTCAACTGGCCATCAATAAGTTGTTTTTTTAACTAAATAGTTTTGTTTTTCGACGCGTAGCGGAGGGAGACAAAAATGCGTGAGCTAAAATCTAATATGTTTCTCGTGTATAATACACTATTTTTTTCTGTGACAGGAAAAATGAGAAGATTGAGAAGATATTGCATTATATTAAAATCTGAAAATTATCGACATGAAATTCGGTTTTCAACAGGTTTCTTTTGAAGTAATCAAATATCTGTCAGTCAAATTCTGTGATTTGATTTCAAGAAATTGTGACTTCAGTGGTTGTTTACTAATTTACGTAACTGCGAAGTCCAATGGAAGATAAAAAGACTTGCAGTTATTTCTCGGAGACGGTTTTATTGACTCATTTGTCGGAACTATAGCACAACAAAAGCCATCAACAGTGTATATACATCGTGTCCCAGCTAAAATCTCCCCCCTCTGTGAAAAAACAATCAAGCTATAGAATGATTTGAAATTTGGTGACCCAGTATATTTGATGATGCTCACTCGAAATATTCTATTGAATAAATCTTAGGTATACAGGGTCACACCGAAGTGCACCTCAACTTTCTTATTTGAATAGGTCAAAGAAGTGTTTGATGATGGAACCCGAAAAAATATAGACCTGTAGATGACGATAATCTGACAGTGAATATTTGTTATATCAAATTATTTTTCTATCAGAAATGGTTCTGGCTATTTATACCAAGAGAGATATTTACTCGATATTTCTGGAATGTAGACGAAGTGCGAAAGCTGCTGCAGAGTTATATCAAAGAAGATATTCTGATCGACGACATCATCCCCCAATCACATTCCGGCGCATTTCACGGAATTAAGATGAAAGTAGGGTCCCTTGATGGAAATAATTGACGTTAAAGTCATCTTAACAGGGTACGGACAGATCATAGCTGCATTCTCTTTTAATGTTCTAGACACTTTAGTTTTGTCTACTGGCATTCCTGACAATACTGTCACGTCACGTCCATGGGCGCTACAGAAAATCATTCAACATTTTAATGATAGGTATGTACAGGGTATTTTCTTTTTGAAGATCATATGGCGAACGAATTTTGTAATTATGATTCGATTCTATTCATCTATTCATAATTGGAAGGTATCTGGGATTTTCCGGGGTTGGAGAGAATGATTGTTTCGTCAAACTTGGAAAATTCAAGATGACGAATCCAATATACAGGCTGATTCACGGAGGATGACACATTAGACGTTTCTGGAGAACGCAACTCAGGATTATTCTGAAAAGTTGGTGCCTTGTATAATTCGTTGTGTTCTGAAATCTTCTCAGCGCTGCCACCGTGAATCAGCCTGTATAGCGAAGGAAATGTCTAATTATGATCTGATTGATTGGTGTCTGAGGGTTTTCGGGGCCGAACTTTATGATTTTTTGTCAAAATAAAGAAATTCTAGATAGCGGATCCAATATGGCGAACGACTGATCCGATTCTATTCAAAAATCAAAATTGGTATCTGAGAATTACCAAGGTCGGAGATTATAATTGATTCGTCAAAATTGGGATATTCAAGATGGCGGATCCATTATGGTGGACGAGTTTTGTAACGGAGATTCGATTCTATTCAAAATTGGTATCTGGGGGTTTTCAGGGTAGGAGATAATGATTGTTTCGTCGAAATTGGAAAATTCAAAATGACGGATCCAATATGGCGAAAGACATTAGTTTATATAATTATTACTCTACAACAAATAGACAATATGTAGGAGGCAAAAGTGAAAATAACGTGACTATAAGTTATACTGCGTATACCTACTTCTTTGTTACTTTCATCAATCAATTGTTCGAAAATGACTTTTTATTTAAGGGAGACGGAAAAACCATATTTATAACATGGGGGTAAAGTATATTCTATTCTTTATTTTCCTGCACCGTTTTACGTATTACTTTTTATCAGTCTACTTTTCGTCCTAGACGAAGTTTCATACATATTGTGATATTAGTCACTCCATTAATTCTTCTCCAGGTTGGATTTCCGAAAATATATTTAGCACACATGACATGAGTACAGTAGTTTAGGTATCCACCATTTCTCGTCAATTCAGTCAACCCTAGTATACAGTCTAAGAACAGTCTCTTTTAGTGAAATATATTGAGCTTTCAGTACAACTTATATGTTCCCTACCTCGCAAAGATTATGCTGGAGTAGTAAACTCTAAATCCAGAGGACTGTTCATCTATATCTTGGTATAGTTGAATCAGGAATTTCATATGGAAATTACGTATACGCCAGTGACCTCAATATAACCTAAAAAATAAAGAATGTCATAAACCTAGTGTTTATCCCCAGAATTGAATGAGGAGGGAACTATATAACTGTTTCACAAACACTTTAGAGTGAGAGGAGTCGAGGATCTGTCCATACCCTGTTAAGATGACTTCAAAGTCAATTTCCATCAAATGACCCTAGATGGAAGGAATACATTCAGTCCTAAAAAAAGGACAGGAGGCGATGTAAGAACTGAAAATACTGAAATTAATATTTTGACATTTCTAAATGCCCACCCTCATACGTCCTCTCGGCAAGTATGCAAGGAATCCGGAATATCAAAATCGACAATTTCTCGCATAACGAAATGCTACAAATTACATCCATTCAAACCAAGAATGGTACAAGAACTCCTTCCTGGGGATTATGATAGAAGAGTTCGATTCTGCAATTGGATCATAGGTAAATGCAATATGCTGACAGGCTGTTTTATCGGAATATTCTATGGACAGACGAAGCGAAATTCTCTAGTAATGGAACGGTGTACACTAAAATGCATCATTATGCATACGAAAATTCACGTTGGATACAACTTGGACATTCTGAGAATGTATGGTCTATGAATGTTTGGATCGGTATAATCGGAGATCGGCTATTAGATCCATATTTTTTCTATGAAATTGTCAAAGATACCTACATTTTCTACTGAACGAATTAGTGGAATATATGGAAGAGTTGCCTGTCACTATGTATGCCAATATCTGCCAATATATTCTTCCAACAAGATGGGAGAAAATCTTATAACCACCAATTGTCTAGATGGTGATAGCAACTGGCCAGCTCGGTCGCCAGACCTCACCCCCACTTGATTTTTATTTGTGGGGCTACTTGAAACAACATGTTTATGAGTCGCCAATTGTGAATATATGGAAGAAATGAAAGAGAAAATAACAAATTTATGCGCAGAAATTGATCGCAACGTGATACATAGGGTCACAATGAACGTTATCAAAAGAGGTAGGAAATGTTTGCAGCAGAATGGACGACATATTGAGCATTTGAGGTTTTAATTATTTTCTTTTCATTCGATTTCGATCGTGTTATATCAATAAGATCTAATCATAAAAATTTTTTATTGTATCGTTTTATTTTTTGCCATGTCTTCGTAGTCGTTTGAAAAAATCCCATCAAACCCGGCATTGTTGAATTCGAAATAATGAACTCTACTTGAGTATGGAATAATATACTGGGTGTCCCTATTCAAATAGGAAAGTTCAGGTGCACTTTGGTGTGACCCTGTATACTGCGATTTATTCAATAGCATATTTCGAGTGGGCATCATCAAATATACTGGGTGACCAAATTTCAAGTAATTCGATCGCGCGGTTGATTTTTTACAGGGGGAGGACATTTTAGCTGGGACACGGTGTATATATGCGATATACAAGGTGATTCTGAAATAGGTGGTCTAACTTTGGGAGCATATAGAGTGGGTGAAATAGTTAAGAAAACCTCTGTAACATTTTTTTCTGAAGTGATCCCCAAAAATGATACAGTCCCTCAAAGGGGGGCCTCGGAGAATGATTTTGTATCATTATCTCCAACACCGTGTATAATGAAAATCTGAAATTTTGTCCATCCACTTACTATTCAGTGCCGGTTCGAATGGAGTTAAAATCACCTCAAAATTAAATACAGGGGTGTGTCAAAATAGGGAAGTAGGGGGTAAAAATAACCCCAACTTTTTTGTTCATCGCAATTTCAGTTTTTTGACATGAAATTATGAAATCTCAGGGTTATTCACATAGAAAAGGTGCTCTTGTTGCATCTTGATAAGATGAACTATTAGCGAATGAAATTTGAAAAAAGCTTGTTTTTAACAATATTTTTTATTTAAGTATTTTCAATAGGATCAGACCATAATCACGAAACTCGTCGTCTATTTTTAATTCATGAATTCCGACAACGAATTCAAAATTTTCAACCCCAAAAACCCTTACAAATCAATTTTGAATCGAATCGAACCATAATCACAAATCTGGTCAGCCACATTGGAGTCGCCATATTTTTTTCTATCAACAACTCCATAACGCGTTGTCAACTTTCATCTGCCAGATTCCAAGTTGATCAGACGATTAGAAGTAGGTAAAAATTCAGTTGCAAGATTTGAACTAGATAATTAAACTCAAGTGCATACCAAAATTGCAATTTAAATGAAATCTTGGAAAAAATAAATTGTATTCGCTAATGGTTCAGTTTATCGAGATTCAACAAGAGCTCCTTTTCTATGTTAATAGCCCTGAGATTTCATAATTTCATGTAAAAAAACTGAAATTGCGATGAATAAGAAAGTTGGGGTTATTTTTACCCCCTACCTCCCTATTTTGACACACCCCTGTATTTAATTCTGAGGTGATTTCAACTCCATTCGAACCGGCACTAAATAGTAAGTGGATAAACAAAATTTTAGATTTTCATCATACAAGGTGTTGGAGATAATAATACAAAATCATTCTCCGAGGCCCCCCTTTGAGGGGCTGTATCTTTCTTGGGAGGCACTTCAGAAAATAATGTTACCGAGGTTTTCGTAATTATTTCACTCACTCTATAAACTCCCAAAGTTTGACCACCTATTTTAGAACCACCTTGTATATCTGGGAAAAAAGTACTCACTTTTTTCCCGTGAGACAAAAGTAATTTATGAATAGATATTTATTATACAAGGGAAAAAAGTAGTAGATTTTAGCTCCAGGTTGTGTTGTCTCCCGACGCGTAGCGGAGGGAGACAAAAAACCGTGAGCTAAAATCTAATATTTTTCCCGTGTATAATACACTATTTTTTTCTGTGACAGAAGGAAGGACGAATCAATATTGAGAAGATATTACATTATTTCGAAATCTGAAAATTATCGACGTGAAATTTCAAGTTTTTACCAGTAGGGACACCTGCGTTTCATAGACATCTTTATCATTCTTTCGAAGTAATCAAATATCTGATGTCACTTCTGTCAGTTCAATTCTGTGATTTGATTTAAAAAAATTGCGAATTCAGTAGTTGTTTAGTAATATACGAAACCGCGAAGTTGAATGGAAGATAAAAGGACTTGCAGTTCTTTCTCGGAGACGGTATTATTGACTCATTTTTCGGAACTATAGCACAACAAAAGCCATCAACAGTGTATATATATGTGATATATATCCGGGAAAAAAGTACTCACTTTTTTCCCACGGGAAAAAAGTAATTTATGAAAAGTTACATTTTATAACCTGCCAACAGAGATGAAATGCCAAACTTTTTTCCCGTCACAGAAAAAAAGTGATATTTAATAACTTGTCAACAGATGAAATTTCAAACTTTTTTGCCGTCACAGAAAAAACATTATTAGAGGATGCATAAACAATACTTAGGGATTATCAAGCCACCATATTGCCATATCCGGTATGTAATGTTAGAAGACGCAATGCATTCATTTGTAAGTACTTCAGTTTACATATGGGTGTCCTGTATTATGGGTTATATAAAAATTACAGTAACTATTTGCAGAAGTGGGATGTTCTTAGATATTTCAGTCATATGAATAATTATTCAATAATTGAATAAAACTGATATATGAGAGGAATAATGGAAACATTCTGTACACAAATGACAAAAATGTCATACTTCCATCAAAATGACTTGTTTCGAGTTTTGAATGAAGATCACAATCCTTATTTGGAACTTTATCAAGACCTTCGGCATTCTTCTGGAGAAACATACAGAAGTTATAGGTATCCTTATGATGTATCAAAATGTGAAGCTTTGGTCGACGAAATCAATACGATCTGCCGATTACATACGAACAAATACAACTATAATCTCCTTGTAACAAAAGATCAGGAGGAGGCAAGATCTATCAAAATCATACAAAACTTCTTCCTAGGAATCAGGAATAAACGAATCTTCACATACTTGAAAAACCATGTACTAGAACTATCAAAGAAAAATCCTCTCATTTTACTCAAACTCGTGAATCAAGCCCAAGCCGAATTATTCGAAAAAAATAATTTCCTGCTGGTTTTCCGTTTAGATGGTAAACAATTTCCTCCAAACATCGTTTACAAATTATTTCTCAGGCAAGATACAATAAACATATTGACTCTGAAAGCTACAGGAGGCCACGAAAAAGAACTTGAAAGACAAATTCACCATAGTGGGTGGTACAGTTTCAATGTATACAAATGCAATATGTGTAAAACCGTGGTTAAGATGAGGCCAATGAAGAAAATCAAGCAGAAGAAGAAAAGGCCCGAGGATAACTATCTTTCATGGATCCAAGAGATGTATTGATGCTTTTCATTTACGTGAAATAGTATCAACTAGAATTATTAGATTAGTTTATATTCAAGCCTAAGTGATTAATTAGGAGTAACTATTCTAGAAAAAATCAATTTACAATCATGTGTGAATAAATTGTTATTGGCAGATATCGTTGTACATAATATTACTAAAAATAGATTTATCAACTGCTAGAGTAATTTCCACGATATGTAAGGTCGTTGAAAACTTCTATACATGGTATACAAGGAAGATCTTTTGAAAATAGGTCTGCAAACACACCTTTTTCGAGATACAGGGTGTAACGAGATACTTACGTTTTTCAGTCATAATAGGCGAGTGGACTGATTGATTTTTATTTCCTAAATAGAATCATCACTCAAATACCATTCAATTTCATATTTCTCAAGAATTTTTCGGTCGATTTTCAGGTACCGCCAGTAAAAACTGACACCACGATTTCTCAAGTAGGGCAGATCATAGCACAGTTGCCATATGTTGAAATACGATTGGGAACTTCAGAAATATTAGTTATTCAATAATTCATAAATTTTCAATTGAGTATTTGTAATATTCCTAGTTAGTAATACAAATTCAATTGTCTTAAAATGCTCCTTCATGATTTGTGGCTTATTGCTTGTAATTAATTTGTGTGAATAATAATTATATTAATTCACACTAGAGGACATTTAAATCGGTGAACGTGACAACACGGCGCACGACTTGTGGGCGTGGTCTTGTCAGTTCTCAGCATTCAGCACAGAGTTGCCAAGTCTCCATTATTTACATGATACCGGGTGACCAGTTATATTCTGACCCATTTCAACTGCTCACATCTCCGAAACTATTCAAATTATCGTTGTGCGGTTTGGACTTCTCTATTTTCATATTCTTCAAGTTTTTTGACTGGTTCACCTTCTCACCTGAATTTCTGGTTCTACCGGAAACAAACAAGCCATTATTCAGGTATAGGGCAACTTTGATAACATTGCATAATCTCATTAAACCATTCCACAAGCAGTAGTTGTTTCAAAGAGTTATAACTCTAATAGTTTTCTAGGAGAACATAACTTGTAATACGTTGTTAGATAGAGAAAAGACCAGTCTTTCTGAACGTGCAGAAATATACAGGGTGATTCAATGAAATAAAAAAGTTGCCCTATACCTGGATTATTGCTTGTTTGTTTCCGGTAGAACTGGAAGTTCAAGTGAGAAGATGAACACGTCAAAAAAAACTTGAAAAACATCGAAATAGACTAGTCCAAACCGCACAACGATAATTTGAATGGTTTCAGAGATATGAGCATTTGAAATGGGTCAGAATATAACTGGTCACCCGGTATTTCGTTATGGGGAATAAGACATATATGGACATGCTGGTTGCCAGAAAAAATCTTCTTCCTTATTGTTCATTCTTCTCAATCATGAGTTCCTTCTATTACGTTTTATTGAACGACAGGACTCATACATCTTTTTGATAACTTGATTATAATTTGTGACTTGACAACCTTGCTTCATGAGTGGAAATGGAAGATTATCTAACCAAAAACGAAACAGCATAAGAACTGACGTCACCATTTATTCGACGTATCGTGGACGTGGCGTTTGAAATGAGCTCTGAAATTCAACAATTTCGAACAACACATAGACTCATTGTTTATATGGAAAAATAAAAAATCGTGAGAAGTGTTGTAAGCATTAATTTGGATTCTTAACGACACAGTGGACTAATTGAATGCCAATAATTCATTATCACTCCACTTGCCCATTCAGAGAACGATTGAGATGAAGAACTCACCTCGTGAACACATATTATCTTTGATAATAGCCTTATAATAGGCACTTTTGAAGGCCAAATCATTTTTTCTACTACTGCTATGAAAAGTAGCGCATTCATCATAGCTTTCTTAGTTTCGAAACCATGTATGATAATAAAATATAATAATGGGTCAAAGAGCATTATTCATCAGGAGAAAATAAATCAAGATTGAGATTTCAGCGGCCTAGCGCCAAAACTAGTCATTAGAACGGTTTGGTATTTGGACATTTTGTTCAGAATGTCTCGAACTATAACATATTAAAAATTCAGCCAATTCGACAGGATGCCAATTTTCCCTATAAAACGTGCGGTGTCCTTTCACCTTTTTTTTCCGCCTGTCTTTTGGATCGCATTTGAAATAATTTGCCCTTCTTTTTGCATTGGACCATTTATATATCACAAAATGTACTTCAAAGACACATCTTTTTCTATTAGATGAGTCAATTAGAAATATGATTTTCTTGCGATTAATCCATGTTTAAAATAATGGCGTGTGTAATGTCATTCAAAAGCAATCTGTTGACATTTGACATCTCGTATTTGGATTGACTATTGATTAGACGGCCGTCATCTGGTATGATTGTTCACTAAATATGAAAAATTTTATATAAAAATCATATTTGGTATTGAATTTTCTATATAAAAATGTGTCATTGAAGTACATCATGAGTATATAAAGTGTCCAATGACAAAAAAAGAGCAAGTAGCAGTAAATGCATCCAACACAGGCGGCGAAATTTTCAAGTTTTTCATGAAATATCTCGATAAATAGTGGTTTGTCCACATTTTCATTATTAAATTCGTGATTTTCAGACAAAAATTTTTGAAAAAGAAAAACCATCGCAAGATAAGTGCAGTTTTACCTACTTTCCATCTGAAGAACGTTATTCTGAGACACCCTGTATAGCTCGGATCAACCAATAAAATGATCTAAAGTGATTGTATTTCTCACCTGTGGTATACTTTGCTATAACTAAAGGCATGGCTAATTGCACCGGTATCAGTGGTATCGCCAATAGTCCTAACCTCTCTTTTGGAATGCCTCCTTCTACTAGCTTTAAAGCCATCACACTATCAGTAGAAGAAAATCCAATCTAAAAAACGTTTTTTCATTATGGATAAATAACCATTATACTGGTAAGTGAACACAAAAACAAAAATCAAACTTATATTCAGTTCACCGGTCATTCAGAATTTTCAATAGTCCGAAGAAGCTTACAATGAAATTCAATTATGGAACCATTTAGATATAAAAATAACTACAATTTTGCTATAGCTTTGAATCAACGGATGGACTGGTTTTTGATTTTGTTTCAACAATCTCAATCTTAATTTCTCATTTTATTATTTTTTAGAATATGTTTGCCTAGTTTTGAGGTCCTAAGATCATAGATTAAGTTAAATGCATTCTGGAATATAAAAAGTGACTATCATATTCGCGGTAGCCAATAAGGTCATCATCTGACGTTGTGATGACAAAAAAAAACGGGAAAACTGCCAATCTAAGCCAGGAGTTTGGAATGTTTTCCTGTAGATTTCATGTCATCGCAGTCAGAAGATGACCTTGGTACCGCGAATTGTGAGGTTGGCTATAAACGTGTCGAAAATCAATTGCAAATAAATTAAGCTTCCCTGTTAAAATTATTGAAAATTAAAGCAAAAACAACTTCTTGGACGCTTCTTTTTCTTAAATAATTAAAGTGAAATTGAAAAAAGATAATGCTAATGGCAAATAACATTTAGTTTGACAGTAACTGTTGCCAATGAATTACACATCATGTCTGGCCCTTACTAAAATATGCTCAATTGACGCTTTATGACGTACAACTAGAAACTGGAAATAATTATGATATTTAGAATAAAACTATTCGCATACAATGGGGAAGTTTAATATCGAGGTATTTATCTCACAATTTGTGAAAATTTAATACACAGGGTTTTCAAACCTGAGTCGGCAATATTTGCTAACATGGTTATTATTGGAGTATCAAAGTCGGTTAAATGGATAAACTACTAGATTTTTTTTCCACTGATCACGATGATGAAAACGAAAGAAAAAAATTACATCAAGTTTACGAGTTATGTCAAAAAGTATTAATATTTTTAAATGAGACACTCAATGTTCTTAATACATATGAAATTCGATTCCAAACAAGAACTGCCCAATAAACTTTTATCATAAATTCAAAAATTACTTAACTAGCGACGATTTCATTGTAGGGTAAAAACTACTGTAATACCTCGACCATCCTCGACTAACAATCACTTTGACGAATTTGAAATAAAGTCGATAGCTTAGTCATTTTTGAATTCACGATGAAAAATAATGGGACATTTTTTGTTCAGATTCTGATTTCCTATCGATTAAGAATATTGTATACTAGGCGTTCATTTAAAATGAAACTACCTAAAATTACCATTTGACATAACTTGTGAATGTCCGATTATTATTTAGATTTCATCTTAGTAATCAGCAGAAAAAATACTACTAGTTTGTCCATTTGATCGACTTTGTATTTCCAATAATTACAAAGTTAGCAATAGTGCCGACTTGAATTTGAATACCCTGTATACGTATTTTTTATTTTTTCCGTAAGATCAAATTTCAGTTCAGAAAAAAATAATAAAAGAGGAACTTGGCTCTTTCACTATTCTTATGACGTAATTTCTGAAAAGCCACATTCACAAAGAGTTAAAATACGATTCCCTGTGTCAGTACGACGATATCTTCAATGTCTAGATTTCCGGAAATTGTTCTTCGAATACATTACAACCATATTATATCAGAAATGGGAGAAAATAGGGTATTTAAATCTACTTTGTCGAGCATTATGTATAATTTCTATAAATATATTATTTGCTGGATAAAGTTGATTGCTGATAAAGATATTTTGCAATAGTATCTATGATTTTTCACTTTCATTTTATTACAAAATGATAATGATAACTTGTTAGTAATTTTATGCAAATGAATTCGTTTCTTTATAAAACGGATCTATTTTCTGAAAAAGTAGCAGATTATATCTTGCAACAGCGCATACTTTGAGCCCGTCCACCCTAGAGTGACTTATGACCAATATAGTGACAATAGTTGTACACTGTTTGATTGGTCAGACCTTTCTGTCTTGTTTTCTCCATCCAATTCTACGCTATCTTTTTCACTTTGTCGATGATTTCCCTTTGTTTTTTGTTCTTTGGACACAAAACATCCAACAATCAGGCAAATACGTCAGTACCTTGTCTATTAACTATCAGAATCCGTCTTTTGGGAATCTCAAGTCTCAGATTATTTAGATGATGGAAAGTATCGAATATCCAAACCTAACATCAGGTGGGCACTTCGAAGGCGCAAATTTATTAATGCATGGGAGATACCCTTCAGATTTTTAGCTACTCAGTGACTTGACCAAGAATGACATTCCGGAAACGGCAGCCTTTTGGGGGGAGAGGGGGTGCTGCCGACCGATAAGAAACTAGGTACTTCAATACTTGTTCGCATATTCACCGTTTTGCTATGGTTAAGCCCAAATGTTCGAGATATCATTGCCTTTGACGTCTTGATGTTTCAAACACCTTAAATTCTCTGATATTTTTTTTTTACTTCAGAAATCTCGTTATATATAGTCTACAACATGTTTGGAATGGCTCATACCAAACCCTACGCTCGTTTGGAATATATGCCATTTCAATACTTGTTGCAGAATGTATTATTCTACACATTTTCCAATAGTAATTCAGAAAGCGTCAAATGCCATTCAGACAATATCATTTGTAATTCAGATTAGTTAATTGAAATTCAGAAAATATCAAATGAAATTCAGAATTGTCTATTGATATTCAGAATGCGTCATTTGTAATTCAGATTAATCAACTGAAATTCAGAAAGCGTCAGTTATAATTCAGAAAGCGTCAATTGAAATTCAGAAAGCGTCATTTATAATTCAGAATGTATCATTTGTAATTCAGAATGGGTCAATTGTAATTCAGACTATGTCATTTGTAATTCAGAATAGTTGATTGAAATTCAGAAAGCATCATTTGTAATTCAGATTAGTCAATTGAAATTCAGAAAATATCAATTGTAATTCAGAAAACTTCATTTGTAATTCAGAGGTATGGAACAGTGTTACCTCTGCATGCATACCTATATACAATTCATCAATATCAAAAGTACCTACCTACTGTGTATGTCCTATTCTCCTCGAAACGAATATTCTAACTTCAAATAATTATACATCATCTCATAGAATGAACTTCAAAGACAACTGTATGATTTGTCGTATTCCAATGACTCGAAATGCAGTTACAAGATTGCAGCCATGTAATCATTTTGTGCATACGAGGTGTACTTTACCACTACAGAATATGCCAGATGTTACTTGCCCACTATGCAGATCAATTTTAACTGGACGTTTGGACGTTGAAAGAAATAGGTATTGATCCAGATATTTCAATGAAACGAATTATTCACAGGTTCTTTCATCAGGTATAAAAAACATAATCATCAAGATCGTGAAAGGATTGTGGAATGCGCAGAAAAGGGGGATGACTGGGTAGCATTATCAGCATCATTAGGAGTCAAATATCGTTGAATGATGGATATTTTTATTTATGTTTCAATTCAATCCCAATATTGTTCGTTTTCATACATTACTCGGTTATAGTTATTGTATTATGAATGAGTTTAATAAAAACAAACTTGTGTTGTTGTATCCCACATAATATGATTACTGATAAGATTTCGAGGTGAACAACAAGCGCTGTATGAATTCCAATTGACTAATCTGAATTACAATTGACGATATCTGAATTTCTATTGATGCTTTCTGAATTTCATTTGACAAATCTGAATTACAATAGAAGTTTTCTGAATTTCACTTGACTAATCTGAATTTCAATTGACTTTTTCTGAATTTCAAATAACTTATCTGAATTACAAGTAACGTAGTCTGAATGAAAATTGACGCATTCTGAATTACAAATGACGATATCTGAATTTCAATTGACGCATTCTAAATTTCAATTGAAAAATCTGAATTACAACTGACATTTTCTAAATTTCAGTTGACTAATCTGAATTACAATTGATATTTTCTGAATTTCAATTGCCTAATCTGAATTACAACTGACGTTTTCTGAATTTCATTTGAGAAATCTGAATTACAATTGACGCTTTCTGAAATACATTCGGAAAAGGTGTAGACAGGCGCGTGAAAGAAAAGCGAGCAATAGTGTCAGCGATGTCATACTCCGGAGTACAATGCGTAGAAAAATATATTTTCAATATTATGAAATCCTGGAATACAAAAATAAAATATTCGCTAATGTGTTAGGTGCTAGAGATGAGTTTGCATTCAACAATATCACACGAAAAGGCTATGTACTGCTGAGATAATCATCACGGTCAGAAAATATTGTAAGCATATTCATAAGCTGATCAAAGATAAAAAATGGATCCTTATGAAGCATAGGAAAATTTTGAGCATTTTCAGAAATTAGAGAATTTTGAGCAATTTCAGAAAGAACGGCGATAGTGAGTTTTTGAATACTTTACTACACCCCAAACATAAATTCTTGACTTTTTTTCGTTTATGCTCATTTATTCTTGTTATGCTCGTTCGTCCTCAAGGAATACTACTCCAAAAATACTTTCTGGAGAATTTTACCTCACTAATTACAGTCACAAAAAAACTTTCTGGATGTAATACAATGACAACTTTCTTTTCAATGAAGAAAATAATGAAAATGCATTTGTTTCAAGGACACAAAATATGCTATTATTTGATTCAATGCCGATATTTTTCCCAAAAGAATATTGAGTTTATTTTATCAAATAATGGATGTCCCTGGTTCAGAGTCCACAGCTGATTGCAACAAGACCACATTTGAATAGGATTAAAACTTAGTCTGTAACAACATAGTAAGTTTTTGACAAACAAAAATTCATTACCAGTCCAGTTGCCTGTTGCAATCTCCACTTACCTTGCAAGTCAATAAAATCATGACTAAAGTTTGAACAGATCTCAACTTCAGTATGTCCTTCAGTGATGTATAAGCTGTTTTAATGTCTCTATCATGAATGACAATATGTTCTGGATCATGAGGTTCTGTTTCTTTTTTCATAAGTGCAACAATAGTAGTGGTAACAAGAAACACTAATCCCCAGAAGTATAAGAACCCTGGTAAGGTAACAATACCTAAAAAATCAATTATGATTGATGTGTCAGGAAATTGAGACAACAATATTTAATGGGTGATAGTTCTGTCTTGACTTGGTGAAGAAGTATTAAGTCTTCAAAAACTTAGTATTCATGATAACAGCTTGTCAAATTTGAAGAACAAGATACATCTCTGTCTATAGGGTGGTGTTATTCAAGGAAATGAAATCAAACATCACAGGTGACATCAAATAGTTGGGTAATCTGTGGCATAGGTGCTTGAAAAAGCAAAAGATCTCTGGGCAAGATAAAGAATCTCTCAATTTTTATGGAATAATTTGCAGGAGGTTTAAGTTAGGTATAGTGAATGCTTGAGTATAATACCTACTTGAATTCAATATTTTTTTGTATAATGTCAAAAAATAGATGCCATTTGAAAAAGTTGAGTTTCCAGCAATTTTTCAATTGGTATAAAATGGGACCATTGATGGAAATCAGGATTTCCAGCTAAGTGTTCCATAGATTTGGTTCTCTAATTTTGAATGGTTTGCAAGGACAGAAATCTTTTTGTAAACTTTGAAGGTGGTATTTTCAGAAAAATCATATTCACATGGTGTGTGTTTCAATACAAATGGGAAATAAATTCTGAGCTCAAAATATGAATATTCAATGTGTCTTCAGTCTGTTGTGTTTCATTGTTTATTATATTAAGAAAATTGTTTTATTTTGTTAATATGGATTGAAGTTTGATTTTTATAATGAATGCAGTCAAATGATCCAAAACATTCACATAATTAATAGTATTAATACACATCAAAATTGAAATAATTGTGCAGCTTCATGTTCAACTTCAAATATCAGAACAAAAATACTTTATCACTGTGAAGATGGTTCACATGTGTTCAAGTATGTTTGCAAACCATATATCACAAGAAAACCACAGTCTTGATGATATTACAAAATTCTACAAGTAGAACATGAAGAAATAAAACTCATGAATCAAAAATAAACAAAAGCAAAAATTCTTACATTTTACTTAATGATCAACTAGAGCTCAATAATTCACCTCTAATGGCAGATTCATGATAGTCTCAATTCAGAATTTCTTTCCACGCCTTGTATGATGAATGTCAATTTATCATACACCCAAAAGCAACTGTTGAATTTGTTTTCCAATTAGGTAAAAATATGTATTTGCTATCAACCCTTTCATGTAAATCTGGTACATTGTATTTTAATATAAGTATTGTGCCTATTTTCCAAAAAAAGAAGGTTTATTGAACTTTTCTATAGGTGATCTAATCCTTCAGGTTGAGAAAATACTATGGCAAGCCAATGTAAGTTTAGTTTATTGTACCAGTATATCACTTGAAGATTGAAGAAGATACCGCGTGTTACCAAAACATGTCCTGTGATATAGAATTTCAAGTAAATCCCATTGAGTGTGAAGTTTTTCACATTTACTATGGATGTTCATCAAGCAACAACTAAGTTCATTCAAAATTAGATATTTTAGGTTATTGGTTTTTAGTATAAGTACACTAGAGTTTTCCAAAATAATGCTGTTAGTTGACATTATGAACTAATAGAATACAAATAGAAATAAAATGACAGAAGTGATTCATCAGTTTTATATCCTGAATAGGATTACCTTCATTTTCAGGGGAGGTTCTCAAATACTGGTTACAAAATGTTGGAGATTCTAAAGCCATGAATAAAACATAGCTGAGAAAAAATCCAGTTGTTTGTCCCACACTATTACAAGTAGAGGCATGTCCTACATTATTTTTTTTCAACATAGTAAGTGCCCATCCATCAACTGCAATATCCTGAGTGGCTGCCAGAAAATTGAGTGAAAAAAATAATAGTGTTAGGATTTCAATATTTGGTTCTGTTCCATCACTTCCTAACCACTGGCTGACATGAGCAGAAAGGAGTAACATGAAACTCCCTATCAAGTACTGTGTAGGTATCAACCATGTTTTTCTCCGACCTATCCTGGTAGAAAATATTGCATCAACCAATGGAGCCCATAATAGTTTCAGGCTGAAAGGCCATGAAACAAAACTGAATTCTGCCTGAAATTGCATGATGTTAGTTCCATTAATAGGATTTATCAAATTATGTTACCTGTTTTTTATAACTAACACCTCTATTCTGTAACATCATAGGTATAGCAGCGGATAATCCTAAAGGAATGCCTTGTAGAGTGTACAAGAAGAAGAGCAGAAGGATATTTTTTTCATCTCCCCTTATGTTACTTCTGGAAGGATCTTCAAGCAATTCACCGTTTTCCATATTTGAGGAAAAGGTGCTCGCATTCCTGTTTTTCCTTCGTTCTGTTACGTTCATATTTGGTGAAATATTTGTGTGTTCTTGAAACCCAAAATCAAAACTATAGGTTAATATGATGGCCACGTCATGTTTTTAAACCATATTTTCACCGTCTTGCACTGATTTCGAGAACAATTGAGCTGTGTAAAAACTTTTTACTGATTTGTATCAAATTTATCTAATATGTGGTGGTAAAAAACGATTATTTTATCAATTTAAATTTAAAATATTTGCAAATTCGTGTTCTTCTTCTTCTTCTTCTTTTGGGTTTATTGGATTTCTGTCACCTTTCGGTAACAATTTCTCCAGATCAGGTAATTAATTTTTTCAAGAAAATATATATGGTTATGTAATAATATTGTCACTCGACTCGAGCACTAAAGACACCGTAGTCCGTCACCATGCCCGGCAGCCGAGTTCATCAATGTCCAAAGATTCTATCGAATGTGCTCATGCTGAGCACGTTTGATTTCAAGTATGGCCCCTTTATCCGGTGAATCCGTCACCATCCGGCCTCTATACCGGCGTAGAGATAAAAGGGCTTTATAATTTTCACACACACTTATTAAACTTCACAATAATTATTGGATTTTAATCCAGATCAGGTAATTAGAAAAATTAAAGACTTGCACACACATTAACCTGACTTTTGACCTGGAGACGCCATGTGTCTCCTTCCATGGTCAAAAGGCGAAATCCGCAAATTCGTGTTGTACTGTTGTTTCTGTTTTTCTTCCTGACGTTTTGATCTGTCAGGTCTGTCGACATCTGATATCTGACTTCTGACAAGCTTCTGACACAGTCTGACTTCTTCTTCCTTCCGGTTTGGATGGCCTTTTAACTACCTGAGGGATATTTCATTCACATTACCCGTTAGACCCGGTTATAGTATATTGGTCTAAGTGGTGGGAGGCAACTACGTCATAATGACGTCAACATTAACCATTTTTGAATTCCTATTTTTTTCACTCTACCCAGTTTACTCAGTTATAACCTCAGGTTTTTTCATTTTGAATCCGAGAGAAAAAATATGTGTTGTTTATCTATGTTTTATTGTTATTGTGCAAACCTAATTGATCATGTCTATGAAAATAAACAATAACAAAATAAATTGCGTTCAACCATGTTATTCATAATGGATGATTTGATCTCTGGTTAGGAGACAGATTACTTCATTTGATAAAAGAGATCGAATCATCGGAGTATTGCCACAAATACTGCTCTAGGAGGTATCAGATGTCATCATTTCAGGAATCGTAATTTCTTTGAAACCTGGATAAATTATTACCTAGAATCAAATTTCTATCGCATGTTTCGGATGAGGAGAGTTAGTTGGAGTCACGATGGACATCGTGGTTGGAGCCATATAGCAAAGAACAGTATAGGTTCTCCTCTGTGCATATAGACCCGAAACATATTGTTCAAGGAGCTTGTCATCTGGAAACATGAACTTACATAAATAAATTTTTACTTTCCTAATTCCTACCCTACCATTTCGCAATCTTTGTACATTTGCCCATGATGAACGGGATCATCTTTCACTTCGTAAACAAATCTTCAACTTCAACATTAACCACCTTCACCAACGTTGGAGTTGGTAAACCCAAGGGCAGGTAGGGGAGGTGTACCCAAACGGAAATGACGTCACGGTTAAACACAATGAAATGGGATTATCAGCTTTTACCATGACGGGTAATGTGAATGAAATATCCCTATAGGCTATCTGGCGTTAGAAGTTAGTTGCAAGCACGTCAATAATTCCATTGTATAAATCCTTTAACCAGCTTTAACCATAATTCCCCAATGTACCTAACCCTTGCGCATACTTGCGCACTTGCGGAAGCGGAAAATGTCTTTTTCGCCCTTGACGGCTTGCCCGCAGGCGCACTCCGCTCCTGTCGTTCCGTTCTCGTGCAACTGCCATCATCTGCGGAAAAGTACTACTTTTGGGAGCATCCCGCGATGCCCAATTCCCACGATGCCCAATTCCCACGATACCCAATTCCCACGATGCCCAATTCCCACGATGTCCAATTCCTACGATGCCCAATCTCATGTCGACGATTACGAAGATTGCCGAAGAGCGCAACGTTGCCAGGTTATGAGAAAAAATCAGAAAACAGAAGATTTTTACCATGCCCACTTTCCATAGATTCCCACGATGCCCAATTCCTACGATGCCCAATTCCCACCTTCTTTGGATTTCCACCATAATGAAGGTGGGCATGGTGGGAATTGGGCATCGTGGGAATGCATGAAAGGTGGTTTTGAACTTTACGCATAGGTCATGGATTAACGACTCCCCTAATCTATGCTTAGGTAAATAACTTGTCAAGGATAGATACCTATGACCTAACTGTGCTATGAGCATTGAAACAGTTCAATGGCAATCACAGGATAATTTCAGTCCGATGGAAAACGTAGCAAATTCGTAGTTTATAGCAGGTCAACGTTAAAGACTAAAGACTTCAAAGACGAAGGTCAGAAGAAAAAAATAAAATAAGAGAAATAAAAACAAGAAGAAGATATCTGTCACTGTCATTGTCGATTCCTTGTTTTGTATGTATTTGGTTAAAAGTGGATAGACCTTGATTTGGTTGTAAAGAAAATAAATACTATTCGTCGCAAATTAAGTCGCAAACAAAAAACTCTCAGAAGTCTGGAAGAAAAATTGCAAAGTAGGAAGGAAAATCGGAAACAGGGTGTCGGAGATACGAAACGTAAATAATTATTTAAAGAAAATTACCAAAAATGAAAATGTCATGTATTTGGTCCTATTCAATGTGAATTTGAGTGTTGTATAGTATGTTTTTAATTTTTCAAAAAGGTTCTCCTTAATATTATAATAGATTTATTTTATTTTATACAGATTGTATATTGCCATAAGAGCATAAGAGGCACACAAAAAACCCGTCAATAGTGTCCATGGAATTGGGTATCCAAAACCACCAAATAAAAGTGAATCAGTCACTGTCACCACTACCTGTTTAGGTATTCCCAAGGTTAGTAGGTTTGCTCATGATGTTAAATGCATATATATCAATTTTTATCTACTGTCTACTCCTACTGTATTGAAGAAGTTCCTTTATCAATATCATGAGTCATTAGTTGATTCAATAATATAATTCCTAGACTTGTTCTCATCATAGATTTTTTAAATACTAATAACAACAACAAACTCCTGTCAATTTTATCTACAGTTTAGTAGTTTTTGTTCAAATAGTTGCAGATACCTATGATGAGTAATGCCCAAACATGGACATTAAAAGTGCCCAAAGATCTCATAATAAAAATAAACAATACCATCTAGTTGCTTCTTGCTTAGCTGTATCTATATGTGAGCATTTAGAAATGGAGTTTAAAAAATAAAATAATAAAAGTGTGTTGATAAATACACAACATAGGAAATATTAGCACCTCCACACACACTGAGTGCAGAAGCACCACCAGCTCCTGCCAATGGTATTCCTTATTAGTTTGGCTGTCCCTAAATGCTTGGGTCTTCAGTTTTTCAAACTACTAGATATTTATGTTCTACTTCTTTCTAGTTTGGCTGTAAAATCATGTTTCTTTAGTTTTTCAAAAATGATTTATTTTCTACTTCTCTATGGAAATGTTCCCTTAATCAACCAAAGTTACCAATGCTTCCAGGGTTCCAACAATTTTGACAGTGGTTATCTACTGGTTACTGGTGACTGTGGCTTATTTGCGGAATACCAGTCATTTGTCAAATTATAGTTCTGATCATTTTTCAAACATTCATGCTCTGCCAGAAATTGATTTTCTATTATGGAACCCAAAAGTCCCTAATTCTTGTGCACAGTAAGCACAAACAATAAATCAGAAAAAGCCATCAAACTGAAAATATATGGAATATTATCAATTTACCTCAGTAAAGGAAGCAATCTGAACCTAACACAATAATTAATTGATAATTTGTAAATCGAAAACTAATACACATCAACTCAAACTTGCCAAATTTACCTAAAATCCATGGTCGTTCTGTTGACTGAATCTTTTGCCTTTTCAGGAACCTAGTTCTGTGAATAACCTTCTTTCAGGAACCAACACGACATTCCATATTTATGGAACGGAAAACTACTAACCCAAATAACCAAGTTGATATCCGGAACATACCCTATAAAAGCATGTTCCTTTATTTTTTCAAACTATTTTTTTTACATGGCTCGTTAGCCATATTGGATCCTCCATCTTAAATTTCCCAATTTTGATTAAAAAAACAATCTCTGACCCTGAAAACCCCCAGATACCAATTTTAAATAGAATTTGAATTCACACTTGTACAGGGTGGGCAATATTGAGCGTTTTCACGGGCTATCTCAATAACTAAAGGAGTAATCGAAAAACCGATAAACATGATTGTTATGAGTTCGAATTTGAAGAAACCTAAAATGGCGCATTCGAAATCAGCAATTTTTCAATTTCCCCCTGTATCTCTGAAACAAATGAAGATATCAAAATTCCGAATGCGCCATTTTGGGTTTCGCTAAAATCAAACCCATAACATGTATACCGGTCTTTCGATAACACCTTTAGTTATTGGAATAGCCTGAAAACGCCCAATTTTGCCCACCCTGTACATACATGACCTGTTGATGATTTTCTATGTAATGTTGCATATTATCAATATGCTCGTTGATATGTTCTGTTAATCAATCAAGGTTACCGATGCTTTCAGGGCCGGTACAAACAATTTTGACAGTGGTTATCTACTGGTTACTAGATAGTGGTTTATTAACGGAATCCCAGTCAATTGTCAAATTATAGTTTAGATCATTTTTTGAACATTCAAGCTCTGCCACTATTTGATTTTCAGTTATGGCACCCATTCATCATAGTGCCTAATTCTAAGCACAAGCAAAGGATATATATTTTCCTGTTATTAAAAAAACGTCATCAAATAGAAAATGTATCGATTATTAATTTACCTCAGTGAACGAATCCATCGGAAGTTGACGCAATAACAGAAATAGGAATATTGTATATTCCGTTGTAAA